GCTGTAGAGAAATGGCACACTATCACTGTGCTTTATAGTGTCTGTCCACCTATATTAGAAATAACTTGCTTTTGCCTTGCTCACTGTGCTACGATCATGCTGCTTTCTCTTTCATCCCTTTCTCCACTATGCCTCTATCCATCCCTGAACCCCTTCTCCCTGTGTCCTTCCTCCCTTCATTTCTCTTCTCCCCTTCTCTCTGCCACACCGCTGTTTTGCCGCAGCAGTGTATGACAAAAACATTATCCTTCTGCTGCTAAACAATCCAATAAACCTCTCCACAGGGAGGAAGTTAACCTCTTGTCTGTTCGACTGATGCCTTCCAGACCACGTGACAGCTGCCACAGTAAATTCAAATCATTAGTCTCCTTGCCCCCCATCAGAGAAAAAACTTCTATTAGTAATGGAGACCTCGTAAGAGACCTTCCACAGAGAGCACTGCCTTCCCAATTCCCAATGGAAAAATTCCGAGCAAAAAACTAATTCTACTTTTAATAATCTGTCATCAAGACCAGAGGCAGTCATAAATTATGTGGGGAGCATGTGCGAGAGCGAGCCACAAGAGGGAAATCAGGGTAGAAAATCAAAGCCCAAGTTTGACAAACTTTCCTGAAGATAAATAATAACTTACAAACCGGATTACTTGTTAAGCCACAGCTGAGCGCACAGTCAAGCCATTCCAATCAGCCAATGCAGATGAAGAATTTATAGGTAGAGCCCATCATTTTTCTCAGTCTCCTCCCTCTTTTTATATGCATCCCACCTTTTCTCATTCCTGTCTCCTTCAAGCTTATTATATTCAGGGCCTGTTGTCACACCCTGTGCTGGTTTTATCATTAACTCCTTCTGTGCCAAATCAAAGACTACATGCAAAGGCATTTTTTAAGTTGACAGATTTTTTTTTGTTTGGAGCAAGGGCTCAGGGCAAAAGACAGAGGAAGAAGTGTCTGGCTTGTGCTGTAAAGTAAATACAAGAAAACACTGGCATCCTCTCACCAACTAGAGCATCATGCGGCCTCTAGACCTTAATTAATCACTAAAACAAAGGAAAATAGCATGGGAGAAGTGCTGCAAAGGAGAAAGACGTTTGAAACACGACCACGGCACTTTGAAAGTGTAAGGGAAAAGGCTATCAGCCGCAAGGGTCTGCTCTTTGTTCCTGTGTCAATATCTCTGTAAACTATCGACATGCATCATAATCGTTCCCTTCTATCAAGTGCAGACTAAAGAACAATCTCCATTAGGTGACAGCGCCCCGGCAGGTTGATAAATGCTCCCTGACGAAAGGGAAGGAATTGCGTAAAATAAAGAGGCATGTTCCAACAAGTCTTGTCAAAATGGTATTGATTTAATCATCTGCAGAAATACACATTCTTGGTTAGTGTAGCATGCAGTGAGGATGGCAGCAGCAGCAGAAGCTGGGATACGCTTTACAGTTGTTGACGCGGAGACGCTCTCCCTCATTGGCTTTGCAGGTGATGAAACGCACGCTCAGCCACGCTCTAATTTTTTTTCCCTCTCTCCCTGTTTCCCTCTTCAATCACATGTTATTCTAAGAAAATGTCTGCAATTCTTTTCAATTTTTATTTTGGACCAACAAATACAACTTAATGTGAGTGGGCGAGTCTATATGTAACACACCACTATGGCCAGCCTTCTCCTTGGCCTCTCAACAGAGTGCAGAGGCAATAGATAACAATAGCCCTCCATCATCTAGACACACCAATGGTATTCCAGTAGCTAGAGTGAGGTGGCCAGAGGTCTGGGAGTGTTTATTTAACATCGGGGTGTTGGAGAGTGTGTCTCACCTTGGGACAAATGGATTCCCTCTCCTCCCTCCTTTGGCAGCCTCTGAGTAAACACCACAGCAGAAAACTGGAGGTCTCATTGCTCCAAAGCACAAGTTCATCAGGCAGGTGGGTAGGTTCATCATTGGAGTCTTATTGCAGCATGAAGCCACTATAAAACATGAACAATGTCAGTATAAATATCTCTTTTGCTGCAGTATAACAGCTACCAAATGTGACAGGGCAAAATGAAAATCAAAGCTGAAATCAAAACCCAAGCAGTGACACTGGCAGCAAAAGCAGTTGTTTTCTTACAACTGTAATCATTTAGAAGGTTAAATGGGGCATTATTATCTCTGCACAGCCCATCTGAGCAGTGATGAGGTGAACACAAATAACGTGCGTCCCCTTCAGAGGGAAGATGTGTAGCTACGGCCGCTGGGGGTAGGAGACAATCCCACAGTGACCTGACCTTGACATGTCTGAGTGAAATGGTGGCAGAGGCTAATACCTCATCATATTGAGTTTGACTTTGAGCTCACTGTGGTTGGCACCATAAAACAAAGGATAACAGTGTGGACGAACAGACATAAACTATGGCAAATTATCATATACTGCTATCAAATAAAGCCTGTGATTTGCCTAATTATGTTTAAGAAATAGACTGTTCATACATTTTTGTAACATTAAAAAATGATATACAATATTCTTCAAATTACCCTAAACATTAACTCCTTAACCTACTGTGTGGATAATAATGGGTAGAATTTGTCAGATTTGCATCTGACAAAGTTTTTATTTGACAATATAACCTCAAATGCAGTGAGGTGAAATTATACATGACTGCATTATAAAAGGTCTACATCACCAAAATAAAGAAATAAAAAAATAAAAAAAATACATCCCCTCCCCTGAAACCAGGATATAACTCATCATATCAAGCCAAGAGTGAATCTTCAAACATTATTCAGTCCAGGCGGATGAGTGGAGAGGTGAGGGAGACACCTCGTGTGAGCACAGACCTTTATATATCACCCCCTGCTCCAAAGTAAGGACAAAGGGAATGAAGATGACTACCCTGTCAGAGGGTAAAACAGATGAACCAGACAGAGCTGAGTGAACTGTTCACTTACTGCAACCTGGGCCTCACACAACACTCTGCAACCCAACTAACATTTCTGATACTTTTTTGATCAATGGCCATTCTGGTATGTGCACCCATTCCTTTTGTCTGCTTAAAAGGTATAACACCAAATATATTCAGTGTTTCTTTTTAGTTGCTGTAGTTTATTAGTATTGTGTTGTGTAAATAATTTGGGCTGTTTTGTATGGGTTTTTACACATATATACTGACTCCGTTAGACACCTCTGCAGCTTTATCCACTGTCTCAAATCACCTCAACTGCTGCTGCTGCAAAAAAAAAACAGCCAAAAATCTAAGAGTAATATGAACAGCAATATTTATGATCACAATCAGTAACAATGACTATCACATTTTACAGATTAACTGTAAAAGAATTCATTGGTCTCTGATCAGAGTGGACTGCTGACAGAACAAATAAGACACCACGATTAATCAAGCCTGACTGTTGGCCTGGTCTGCAGCAGGCTAGCTGCAAGAACAAAATCTCCATAGTAACTTAATTTATCTTAATTTAACCTGCTTTCCATGCAAGTGAGTCAGGGCTAAATTCAGCCAGGATAACTGGAAAATCCCAGCTTAATGCCATATCTTGGTTTTGTGCAATACCCCGCAGGCCACAGAACAAAAACAATAGCAAAACCCATGCAAATACCAGACATGCCAACTAAGGTAAATCATTTATGACTTGATCCTGCTGCAGAATGAGCTAATATTCGTATTGAAATGACATTAGATGAATGCATCACTTAGGGTTCTCCATTCCTCTAACAGTTAAGGCAATTTTAATCTTTATGTCAGTAATGAAGATGTGTGCGATATCAACTAGTCAGGGTAATTAATAGCAATGTCAGTGACATTGTATTAATAGCATCATGTATAGCATCAATTTGGTGTAAATTGTCATTTTGACAAGCCATTCTAATTAAAACTATCACACAAGAATTAAAGGACCGTGGTCGTCATTTTGGGAGACTATCAAATAATGTTACCATCTGGTATTTTTGCATGTCTTATCCCCGCTAATTATAAGTGATACTCAAAAGGTTAGAGGCACTTTGGCAGATGCAGTGATCACCACCATACTGTCCCTGCAATAACCCACAGGTCATTACATTATACATAGTGAAGATGTGATTGCCTGCTGTTCTATTATGACAGACAATGAATATGAATGACAAGAACTTTGAACGTCCTAAGCAGGCTACTGACATTGTTTTATCTTCATGATATTTATATTATTTTACATGCTGTATAATATTTTTAGTTCTGTTTTATATTCTAGTCTACAAGGTCATGTGATGCACAAGCTCAAACCACAGTGCACTTCGGTCTTCAGTGAGCGGTGATCTAGCCCCGGAATCAATCTTCCTGACCACTCTCACAACCCAGGAGTGAGCTCAATTCCTTTGGGCTGCTACAGGGATGAACTGAAATAGCACTCCTGAACAGTGGTTTCGCAGACCATCATTACAGAAAATGTTGCTTTTTATTCATCCAAATGCAGCAACTGTCTTCTCAAGAGAGCACAGGAGCTCTCGGCCCGTTAGTGAGTTTCACAGTGCTGCAGGCACATGACTGAAGAGGATAACCCTGCTTTTATGAAAGTACTGTACAGGTGAATTTAAGTCTCTAAAGCTATAGTAACAAAACAACTTGCTTAAGTTCAATGAATGTTTTGTAAAGCACTAAGTCACCATATTTATGTGTAGCAGAATATTACTAGGTCAATGCAGCCCACCAATATTTTTTGTGGCTAATCACAAATACAGTGACATTTTCCACTTAGTTTGCTGAATTCCAGAATTTGACTAATCACATTGGAAATTTCAAAACTTATATCTCCAATACACTAAAAACATCATCCTTAATTATGAATGAAAACTGAAATTACAATAGTGATAAAGGACTTCTCTTGTGTCAGCTCTTATACTGTATCATAGAGATTTATCAAATTGCTCTATGATAGACTAAATCAGTGAGTGAGCGAGCACGAAGATCATTCAGGTTTGAGAGTGATGGTATCAGTAAATGAATGAGTATAGTGAATAACTGCAGCAAATGAGAGAGTGAACAACCTGACCTCTTTGCTGACTTGTGTTTTCAGTCAGTCATCCTGGTTACTATGCGTCATGCTTTGTTTCATCTGACGTGCAATTATTTTTTCCATTAAATACACAACATGTATTTCACTTAGTTTTTCTGAATGAAATTTCAATCAGAGGCCATTACACTCTTCAGACACAGAAAGTTTTACAAAAATAACAAGACAAAATGGAAAAGAAAATAATGCTCTGTCAACGGAGATGGCAAACACAAAAATAATCATTTGCGAGAAGCAGGTGATGCATATGTTAAAGTGTCAAGATGCAGAGGAGAAATTAATAGCTTTCTGCCATAAGCATTCCCTGATAAATATGATTACATTTGCATACTTCATTTTACTCTTGATCTGTTGTCTCTGTGTTTCCTGTGACTCTCATGTGCATGTTCCAAAAGGAAAAGTAATTTGCATTACTGCTCAAACATGAAACAAGTATTTTGGATCTCATTAGGGACTTCCCTGCTGCTCGTCCACTGACAAAATAAAATGACAAAATACAGCAAACATATGTTGGCAAGACCATGTTGGATAATTGTGGCTTGAGAAGAAAGGAAATGGTTAAGTTTCATTTAGTTCACGTGGGCGCTGTGTTTAATTACCTAGACACTTTCTGCAATGTAAACTCTGCAATGTGAGTAATGTGTAAATCAATGATTTGAGGAGATGGTTGTGGGGCGGGTGGTGGATGGGTCTTCTATGAAGTGTTTTGTGCCTCATTAACTTATCAATAAGGCCATCTGACAATGCCTCCTATTTGCCCTGATGAGGAAGATTGTCCATTCCCAAGTAATGGTCCCACGTTTGTCCCACACCTTGACAAGTGGCTAAAGAATCATGTCCTAAAAGCCAGACATAACTAAAGTAACATGGTTTATGCTTACCTTTACACTTACTGCATTAGCATTTAATCTAATTCTGCTGAAAGTAACACGCTATGTTTAAGGTGTCAACTGGCCTTCCATCATGTTATGCTACTTTATCAAGGTGTTGCTCTTGTTGTGTTTTTGCAGGTCACTAAACATATGGGTGTCCTCTGGTCTGAGGACAAGTTTTTATGTGTCTAGAGATATGCAGTGTTTAAGTTACCTTTTTCTAATCTAATAATGGACCTAAATAGTACAAAGCAACTTGGTGAGCTTCGCTGCATCCTCAAGTGCTAAGTAAATGTTGCGTTCATGTTGAAGAAAACTTTTAATCACAATAAACTCCTGTATATGTTGGAGGTGAGGAAAACTGACCGTCAAAAGGAATTGAGACTTTTGTGATTCATAGGTCTTGTATTATGTGCTGAGCACATGCAACTTGTTCCTGACAAAATATATGCAAGTAATCATTACTAACCATGTGTACAAACTGCACTTCATGGTTAACATTTCATGCTTTCATGTCAAGGATTGGACATGACACACATATTCATGGTCTCCTTAAGGTGAATCTCTGGGCAACAATAGCTGCACTTTTCCAGTTCAGGATTCCAATTAACCTGTCCAAATCATGACACCAATCACAGGACGCAGTATCAACTACGGGCATGAAAAGAATAATGCTGTTAGGATGATGTAGCTTACTGTGAGGGACTCCTCCCTCACTGGTGACAGAGAAGTTTGCTCCAGTCATTTATCAAGTCCTCTCTGTCCACTGAGGGGTTGGTGAGTCCCAGAGCCGCCTGCTGCTTGGGGGGCCAGCATGCAATATGTGCATTTTAGGCCTCTGGTGGGCTGGCAAAAACTGCTGATGTGCTCACTGCTGCTAAGTTTGATGGATTTGTTGTTGTCATTTGCTTTGGTTCTGTTCCCTGCAACAAAACAAAGGGAATCATTAACTCTTTTGTGCTACATGGAACCTTTATGGGTTAGGGATAATGCAAAATGAGATGGGGTACAGATGGGGTCAGCTGGAGCATTCTGTTGCAAGAGCTTCCAGAATGGAGCGTTGAACATGCATGGATGATCCTGCATAGAGAGCTGATTACAGGATGATTTAGTGACCACTGATATCCCCTTTCTTCTCAAGCTTCTATCATCAGGCTCATTTCAGTCGCAAGAGTGCAACTGGCAGCGTTCACCACTTATAGCCAGTCACTGTTTAGCACCTCATGTAGTGTTCTGGCCAGGCTCAAGACTGAGCCATTACAGTGCATCACTGTTAGAGGCTTGCAGTGTTTACTGATGCAGGCTTGGCAGAGGGCTGCTCTACCGTTTAGGACTGCTATGATTTTGGTACACTGTAAAGCTAAGTGCAGTCAACGTAAACATATAAACACTGATTTAACTAAACTAAAAAAGGGAGAATTAGCAAAAAGATCAAAATAAGAGAAAGAAAAGCAGTGAACTGATTATTGTATGAACAGAAGATTAAACAGCCATTCTGACAATGAAATCATTGTTCATTTCTAGTTTGCATTTTAAATGCAAAAATGCTAAATATTCGCTAGCTTTTGAAGGTGAAGATTTGCTTCTTGTCCTATTATATATTTTTATTATGAAGTTATATCATTGTAAATAGAATGTCTTTGAGTGTTGAGTTCTTTTTCAGACAAAACAAGAAATCTGAAGACGTCACCTTGGGCTCTATGAAACCGTGATATTTTGAAAATGACCATTAAAATTCCAGTTTCCAGTTTAGCAAGTACTGTATATCATCAGATGAAAGCTTAGAGTTGTAGACAACACATCTTGACACACTGAATTACTGATGATTCACCCATAAAAAAAAAGAAAAATTAAAAATGTAACTAGGTATGATGTAAATGACTGTGGATAACTGGACTAGTTCAGAATAAAAGCATTCTGTTCGTGAAGTAACAAGAATTGTAACGGATGAAGAGGCGTGTTTGGTTGAGAGCAGGCGGCCATGCAGTTGCTAAACTTCAAGGTGAAGACTTACTTCCTCAAGGGAAAGTTAAAGACCAAGACAAATCCTTTTATTTTTCTCTCTCAAGTCATCACAGCCTGAGACAAAATACAAATTGAGACTGTAGCAACGGACTGCGACAGTCTGCTGTTGACTGCGAGGGTTACAGGGGTGATTGAGTGTGTGTTTGACTGCCTGAGGCCGAGGGCTAACAGTACTGTTACAAAGACAAGGTCGTCTCCAAGAGAGAGAGTAGCCTCAGCACATAATCCCAGTGTTCCAGACTACTATGAACACAGACCCGACACAAGATTGATTAAGGTGGAAAAACATTACTTGGGGAATGATATCATCAAGACAGATGGAAATGTATGGTTTTGGCCAAGAAATCATCTATAGTATTTCAGTCACCTCCTGCGTTCAGATGGGAATGGGTTCTTCCCACTTCAGATAAACCTGCCTCCCAAAAAGAGTTGAATGTCATTAAAATTTTAGATAAAGATTAAATTAGATTAGATTCAACTTTATTGTCATTACCCATGTACAAGTACAAGGCCTAATACGTTGACCGATGTTGACTCATGTTACCTACTGAGGGTTCATTTGATTTAGCTTAATGTCACATGAGCATCCATGAAAAATGGTTACACTATACAGTAGCTATATTTTATCAATACTGACCAGAGGCAACCAAGCCAACCTTGATATGTTCCCTTACTCTCATCAATAACTCAAAAGAGGAAAGTTGTTTTCCCATATAAAACTAATCTTTCCTTTTTATTGTATTTTAATGAAACAGACTTGATTCTAAGGCAGTAATTCATTCTATTTGTTATGTTTGGACAACTCATTAACATTATCATTTATTATCATTACAGTGACATTTTAAGCTTCTTCTCCCTTGAGATGCGGTGTGTTTCTTCTCTTCAGTTTGCATTAAAACAAATGCAGACCTGCTGATGCATTAGATTAATGTGCTCACTCACTGCCTGCTATAAAGCTCCAGACCAGCGTCAAGCTTAAGTTAAGTTTCTGTACTTTGAGACTCATCCACTAAGATTCATTTTATTCAATCAAACAAAGTAAGAAGCAACTGTCAATCTCAGTTTATCTTTACAATAAATGTAATGTCACTAAAACAAACAGCAAAGTTAGGGGAACATAGTGAATCTATTGTCTTACAAATGACTGAATGTACACATTATACTCATGAAGAACCAGGGCTCTGGTTCATACACACCACATTTTAGAGAGATTAATTTCTCTGTTAATTTACTGACAAATATAATCATCCACACATCAAGCATTAGCAACACAGCTTTCGTCTGATTTCATGTAACATTTACTAAACCATAATGCTAATGAGTTATTCAGACTTCCAGATCAAATTCAAACTTCCTCAGTCTTGCTGAGTCTGCCGCAACAGATCAAGCCATGTGCTAATTACAAAGTTTGCTTTTTTTCCTGAATTAATAATCTTGATTAATTAGCAAGTCAAAGTAAGTGAAGATGATCTATGTAGAATATATCACTGTCATGAAAACGTACTGAAACGTTTCATTTACATTGCCTGACTTCTTAATTACATGCATCCAAATTTTACAAATTTGATGGAAAATTAATAATGTGTAAGGTGCGAGGTTTCATGGAAAACTTGCTAACTAAACATAATAAAGATGACAGAGTAATGAAAGGATCTAAATCTATTGGGTGTTTTGCCATTTCAGACACTTTTAAGAAATTAACTACAGTTAATCACAGGTGGATCTACGGCTTCAAATACAGTCTTTGGCTTTATAGTATAGCACCATCACAAACTGATTGCCTCCAGATTGTTGATGGGCTCCAAAAATATTTATATTTTACACTTTACAGAGGTAGGATTTGTACAAGGAAGGCTGTGCTGGATTGCATTACTTTGTACAGAGTTTTTGTTTTGTTTTCGTTTTTTGCAAATGACTGAATAAACACAGTATATATTGTTTCTTTGGTCAAACTGAAAAGAAAAAACGTTTCATTTTGTTATACAACTTATTAGGCTATCTGAAGTGTTTTTTCTGTACCCTAATTCAATATGGCAGAGTGAATATAGCTACAGTGCACGTCATCTACATACCTGAAGTTTGTAAAATTTTGTCATGGCAGGGAGCAGGTTCTTTATGAGCAGCTCAATCCTCCCCAGGGCCTTTAGTGTTGCATTCCTTCTCTGGGTTTGCACTTAATGGACAGAATTCATTCGCTATCAGTCCCTTGGGTGTGAATGCCTTTGTTTTTGTACAAGTCCAGAAGCACAGATGTCACAACCTAAACAAAAATACAATTTAGGTTTATATTATTCAACTTAAAGCCAGTGGTGATAATTAAATAAACACATTTAACTTTACTCAAACACTGGACAGTTTTGAGACACTTGTACTTTATTTACTTACATTTTCTGCAAATTTCAACTACAGTGTATTTCAAAGACTAATGTTGTACTTTTTACTCCAAGTACACTACATGTAGGTCTAATTACTTTACAGACGTTTTCTCTACAGATGCTTGTCAAGAATGTGTCTACTAGGCTAACATTACAGTATTGTATTAGCCAAAATTTTGCAGCTAAAGTAGCTGAAAGCTAACGTTTAACCTCACATTTCCTTCACTGACAACGGCAAAGAAAAAATAAGTATGCAGGTCGGAAGATAGTTGTGAATGTTGGTGCGGTTTTTCAGTGTAAACAGTTCTAACTTTAGCTAAATCACGCTAACATTTATGGCAACCCTAATGCCCTAATATTTACCACAAGGTGCGTAACGGTATTTTCACGTCCATTGCGTGGCACGTGGTTGTGGTGCTGGGAATTGATTGGTTAGCAGGAAAAAGGCTTGTCCAATCACGCTTTGGAAGGCGGAGCATGCTCGGCACGTGCGCATATTATTCACAACACAGAAGTTTGACACACAAACAGTAAATAAAAGCATGGTGTTGTAAAACATTTTACACTAAAATTTATTATGTGTCCCATATTTATCCATTACCGCAGCTGTACTAGTGCTTTATGAGTGATGTCTTCTTTTTACACCTTGGTGCTGTTTGCATGATTCCCTTATTTATTATATAATGATATTGTTTTAAGATAGTTAACACTGGCACATATAATAAAATATTGATTAATATACATAGCCATAGTTAAGCAAATAAAACATTTAAAAATAAAAGCCAGCCTCTATGTTTTTGGTATCATGGTCACATGATTGCCACAATATGTACAAATTATAAAGTCTAATATAATACATTATTTGGGGACAAACCAAGAGTAAATGTCATCTGACCTTTCCTGTCCTTTTATATTACAGTTCTTCTAAATGTTTTAATGTGGCAAAGGTGCAAAATTCTATAGAAACATATCACTAGCTAATTATCTTAAAAATGTCAGAGATCTCATGGCTTGCAATCACTCCTCCAAGACACCTTTTTCCTATTTCACTGCAATTGATATTTAGGTAATTGATAATCCCTGTGTGAGTAATGTTGTCAATTTGGCACCTAAATCCTATTTTGGTGACCATCTGGGCTCACTAAATTGTTCCCTTGAGAGCACAGGTTATAGGTAGTAATTATTCAGAAGTCATTTACTTTTAGAGGTGTTTAGTGCTTATCTACTTTGCAGTTAAAATGCAAAGAGAGTTAGTTTTTTCCCAAACTATTGTTTTGCCCATCGTATATAATGCATAGAGGTCATACTGCAAATTTGAACACAAATTAATTTCTATGATAAATTTTATTGAGGTATTAAAGTTAAAATTAATTGGATGGATGGAAGTCTTTATGTTGGACTTAAGGGTTGCAACTGTGATCTTTGTGATCATGAATATCAATATTTAACCTGTTCAGGGCAAAAAGGTGGGTATAAATAGGGCTCAAAACCTTCCAGGCTCTTTCTTAATGCAGATTACATATGTGATCTGTGTGACAAATGCTAGACTTACGCAGGCTTATCCAACATGCACTGTCTGCGCATTTCACTCACTTATTACTGAAGCACTCTGTCAAATTGATTATCCAGTCAGCTAATTCCCAGTCTATGTTTAGCTAAAGTATGATAGAATCATTGTGTCCCATGGGTGCAATTCTCATTTGTGTGTCTGTCTGTGTGAGTGAGTATTTATGCGAAAGAGGCTAACGAATCAACAAACTGGGCCAGAAGCTGAATATTGAGCAATCTGGGACAGTTGTGGATATGCTTTCGAGCTTATCACCGCCAAATTCTGGAATGTAATGCTTGATATACAATTGTTGTAAAGCACAATAATCAGGTTGTTTGGCTGCTTCATCTAAAACTGGTCATCATGTAAGGCAGACTATTTTCAGTACATAAACGCTGCCGAAATAAAGAATATCCAGAGAGGTTCATGGTGATGGAGCAAATTGCATTTTATGTATGCATTTTATGTTTTTAACTGTCCTCATTTTGTTCCCTTGAAAATGAGCACTGTTTATTGTGTGGTACTGTGAAAGCAGGTCCATTGTTACATCATGTTTTTGGTGCCATTTGTTTTGTTTGTTTGTTAGTTGGCAAGATATTTCAAGAACTACATTTGGTGGAGAGTTATGAAATGAACAAAATGTAAAAACAATTTCCTTAGATCATAACACCAAAACAATGATGCATAGGGGAAATAATCTTCTTTGCAGGAAACATTGCTTTACATAGGATTTTGTTTAACATACTGAGGTTATATGTCAAACATAAACTCACAGGTTAGCTGAGGTTCATGATTTCAATACCAGTTGGTCACACAAGGACACCTTATTTACTTCCTACTGCAGCAGAAATATCTTTATTACGTTATCTGGTGTGTCTGGCTTTAGTAAAGTCCGTAGAGAGGAGAGCAGAGGGTGAAAGAGGTCATGTAAACCCAGACAGAGACACTGGCATGACACTGTGACATGTTAAGATCCCCTCCACTGAGCTGTGCCTTGCACAACAACACGAAACAAGGAAATGAGCCACAAACATATTCCTGACCTCCCGCCCCACCCCCAGCTACTCAAATCTGTGTACAGACAGACACAGAAGCAGAAATACCATGTAAACACAACAATGGGAATATAATGAACTGACCATATTCTTATTGCAATAAAAGTCTCCGGTAGATTTCTGTTTTTAAGATGATTTAAATAATTCTACAAGCTCCCAGGTAACCATATGCTACATTTTCTGCAGGGTTATGATTGTTCAATCAGACAGCAGCATTATGGCCATGTGATCATCTTGTTTAGTGCACTGAGCTGACAAGACTACACTGAAAGGGAATTATATGTCCTCCACTGGGTCTTCTCTCTAAATGAGAGCCATTGCCCCTATTAGATAAAGGTTAATAGTCATTTGGTGAAGAAAACAGCTGATTTTGTCTGATCCAGAACACAAACACAACCAAGCACTGTTAGATTAGTTGTTCATTTTATGAGACCTTTCTTGTCCTTGAAAACACTAATATTTTAATTTTGACAATGTAAAAAGATTTTATGTTCATTTTGTCTGTGCCCTGCAGGCAGGAATCAATGACATTTTAAATAATTGTTGTTACAGGCGTAATCTCTGGAGGGAGAATGGGGCAAAACTGTAGAGAAGATTTGAGTAAATTACTGTGTCAGCTTCTATTTATTTGCGACCAGATTGCCAGAGGCAGCACTTCAAGATAGCCATTAGGAGTCAGGGCAATAAAGACAGAGCGTGTAGCCATTGTCGAAAAGTTAGCGTGTAATGCAGCAAGTTATCATCAAAGTGCTCCCTGTGGAGAGAGCAAGACGCATACTGGGGAGAATACATGTGAGGAGAACCAATTATAGCCCCTCAAATCTCTCTTTCACAGAGGGAGGAGTCATAAATAGATTGCTATGGCTGTGTACACTGACTGTATATCGGTATATCACTCCATATGGAGATGCTTGTCTGTCTGTATCATTAAAGGTAACTGCCATTCTTAAACCGAGTACACATGCTATACTTTTAGGGAGTACAGTAAAAAGCTACAAGCATGAAAAACCCCAACAAAGTTCTAAACAGAGTAGAAAACTTTGTTTGCTACAATAGAGCTTTGTAATGACTGTAAAGCATAAGTGCACCATTGCAATGTGACATTGTGCCATTTGAGATTGGTTGTGAGAAATGTAACACATAAGGATGTGAAAGCTCAAGGAAGTATTATTTATGAAAAGCAGAAATGTAATCAAATAATGTTTCCTTCCCATACTGAAAATATGAGGTGCAGTTATGGACTAAGTATTCACATAGTTTACTTTATTTGTTAATTATATTTTGTAAGAAACAAGTACAATATTTGACTGAGTAGAAATATAAACTAAATAAAATGAAAATATTCAAGTACAACTACATTAAAATTGTATTTAACTGCTGTAAAGAAAAAACTAAATGTACTTAGTTGCTTTTCACAACTGATCAAATGTAATCAATCTATTTTTATTGTGCTTTTGCTTGACCTTGACAACAATAGTGGACCTTGAGACTTATTATCATTAGTATAAATTGCAATTGCATCAGATCAAATTTGTTATTACAGTACCTTATAATGTTGATAGCATTCTGAGCATTAAACCATCTTATATTCCCCTACTGCATACGGGTTTTCTCTCGACTTACTGAATCAACTTTTGTGTTTCAAACAGTTTTTACTGCAAATTATATCATTATGTAAGAGATATCTACTCTGTTTCAGGCACATAGTCTAAGAATATAACTATGTCTCTTGGGATATCCTAATTAAAATGCTAATTTCATGAACAATGTGAAAGTACACAATTAGCTGCAAATTAAATCAAATGAAGCTGCTTCAAATAATAGGCAAGCATGAAGTGGTTAATCCTTTTTACTCTGTTTAGAATGAACCCTGACCTCCTTAACTGCATTTTGTGGATATTAACAGAGGTAATGGTAAAACAATGAATATATAAGAAAGTCATAATCCACAGAAAATAGCTTCTTTTTTTTTTATCCCCAGCCACTTAAATGTGGTATGATAACCAGTGGAGGCAGTGACTTTTAAATCTGGGATTTAAGAGAGAAGGGGGGAGAGGATCAAACAATGAACAGGAAGTGGAGATGAAAAGGGAGGCTGCATTAATTAAATGACAGTGATGGGCTACAGCAGTGAAGATAAGGCAGGGAGAAAAGGGATTGAAACTGTTTGTAGGGTCTGCCAAACAAATGGTGCAGGTCCCTGTGGGCAAGAGATTATTATGGGCTCTGTGTCTGTCAAACATGTGAACACAATACAAAAAAGGGAAGGTGGTAGGGAGGGAGTGAGACCCGAGGCGGTGCAGCAGCCTCTGAGGGCCCACCAGGACCGGGGCTCTCCGCAGCAACACTGGCCCTGCCAAAGAATGTCTGTAATCCGCAGGCTGACTGTGGTGATCCCGTGGCTCTCCCCGGCAATGCAGCAAGCTTCCCTATTGTCAGCAGCTCTCAAATGGGAGGGAGGGGATTGGGGGGGGGACTGGGGAGGTGATGTCCCTTTTTCAGCCCAGCCTTATGAAAGCTCCCTGCCATTGTCTGAAAATTACAATTACACTTTTCTGATCTTTTGTGTGCTCCTGTTGACAGTGGTTATTGACTAAGCGGTTGGACATGGAAAGGATATGACCCCCCCACCTTTTCCCTTCCTCCTCCTCCTTTTTTTGTCTTTGGGGGGCCTCTGTGAACAAGATAGGAAGCAGGTCTGAGTTTTTCATGTAGCATAAAATGTAAAAAGCATTTGAGGAAGCTTATACG